AATTGAAAGTAGTGGCTTAATCATCTATTATTCAGGCAAAGAATCAACGCAAAATCCTTGGTGCAAGAGCTACGATCATGATCATCTACATTTCAAGTTTGTTGCTTCTTGCTTTAAACAAAAAATCTTTTAGACAAGTTCGTTGATCCTGCTGGCCGAATTCCAGAAACGAGGTCTCATGGGCTCCTGAAATTCTTGGAAGCGAAACATCAAATTGTAATGTCGTAAAATTGTAGCACACAACGTCTAATTTTAGGTGACGCAACATCTGGCAACGGAAAATATCCTCGGCAAAAAGCAATACGACAACTCAATTAAGCCGATAGATAATGCGACTATGGAGAACATTCCCAACAAGTTCAATTTGAAGGCATTTGGATTAAATTATACGATTGTGCCGGAATAGTTATACGAAAGACCTACTCCAACTTCCTTGAACCTTTCAAATAACCAGGCATGATGTCAAAAGAAGAAGCGCAAAGATTTTCATTGCTCGTTTTGTGATTTTGCTGGTTATTTGAAGACATTTTTAAGTTTTAAATGAATCTAAATGGAATTAATGAAATCAAATTCAGAAAACTATTTTAAAGATTTGAATGTAACTATTGTTCAATTTTAAAATGTCAACTCCATGAAAAATCACTTAAAAAATTAAGGGACTTTGTTTTAAGGCCGCATTTCTTTTTTTCTTTTTTTTTCTGCTTTCTTGCGTTACTTGGAATCTTTTTCATGTATTCCTTTATTCAAAAGATATCAAGCCGTTAAATGCACAACACAAACATCTCCACATCCAAGTGCACATGGCCGACTCCACGTCTTCACCTCAGTAATCATCCAATCACCAGATGCTCCATAGAGATAAGTGCACGTTTTGTGATTTGCTCCTTTTCGAAAAACAGTCACAATGTCGACACGTCCTTCCCAGCTATCACCATAAGTCGCTGCATGCTCTGTTAGCGATTGGATCTCGTCATGTCGTTCTCGCCATTGATAATGGTCTTGAAAGTAACGACTAAAATAAAGTATTATCTCAATTCTGACTCTGACTAGTGATCGCCAGCTTAAGTTTTAAAGCAAAGAAATGTAAAGAAGTTTTCCAAACCCATATATTAGGCTGGCCAACAAGTAATGACGGATTGACTGACAGATGGTCTCAAACCAAACCAAAGTTAACGTGTTTGATCTTATTCGAAAGCTCTATTCAATAGGAGCACAGTAGCGAAAACCATTTTTTGCTTCGTTCGGTTTTCAAATTTTTAAAAGCATTTAAGTGAGCTCGGTCAGATCGAAAAAAGTGCCAAAACCACATTTCGTCAATTTTTCGGCCAAGAACCTAGGCTAAAAATATGTTTGTTCCCGCGGCACGATTTCCGCGAGTAGACACCCAAGCTTTGGATGCGTTTTTCCTGTGTGTTTTTGAGTATGGACAAAAACTGAATACAGCATCGGATTCACCGTGTCCGCTTGGCCTTTGCATTTCAACGGCGTCAATATCTGCTAAGACCATTTTGTGGCATCTGCTTGCTTGGTCTTTTTGCAAAAAAGGTTCAATATTTGGTCACAGCTAGGAGTCGAACCGTCGACTCTCGCCTCAACGAGTCGCCAAACCGCCCAGCTAGAATTTAGTGATCCCGAAATGTGATTTTGACACTTTTTTGGGTACCAAACTGACTAAGTACCATTTAAATGCTTATAAAAATTTGAAAACGGAACGAATCAACAAATGGTCTTCGCTACTGTGTTCCTCTTGAATACAGCTTTCGAATAAGACCAAAGATTGGTTTAGTTTGAGATCATCTTCCAGCAAATCCACCATTACTTATTAGCCAGCCTAATAAATACTCGTCTGACCTGATTCCTTCTTTTGCATCAGGCTTTGATCCGTTCCGAAAGCCACCACGAAATACAAATACCAAATAGTTCGCAAATTCCAGCACAGAGTTATCGTCCTCTTCAAAGCCTATGAAACCCGTTCTCATGTAGTAGTTGTCCTCTGAGAAAGCCTCTCCTTCCCAATAAGCATTCACATAGTCTGCCGGTACAACGGCGACTTGCTTCCTGATTCTGAAAATTACAGAAAACATTGTAAGTCAAAGTTTTATTCAGAAACTTTTTGCGGTTCCTTTCGGTTATACATTCACAAAAATAACCCCTGATCATTAATCAACGAGGAATCAATGAGGATCAATCCATGCCGTAGCAATTTGTTGCAACACCCATTCGTAGAAATCGTCCTTTCCCACTTCTTTTCGAATCATCAATTCAGGAGGTAGTTCGGTAGGCAATGACGTGTCGCGATGCTTCTTGTTTCTCCATTTTTCCCCTAGACGCTCGATCGTCTGCGTGTGAATGGCAGGGTCATCAGGATTCAGAAAGTTGTTGTACTTGTTGTACTCATTGACATGAGCGTGGGTAAAGCCGGCCTCCTCTTGCATCCTCGCCAACAATCGGAGTCAATTTAGGTTCCCGACTCGATGTGTTCAATCATCGCTTTCAATCGGGTCTTGGTCTCGAGCGGCCTACCACCCCAACAGGAAACATTCCTTGGTTTCCCGGAAAACTACTCTAAATATCCACACTTGCGGGAAGATTCGGTCCACATTCGCAAAGAGAGACTCGTCAACTTCGACGATTCGATTGTTTTCTCCAATTTTTCCTCTCAGCTTATTCACTAGATATTCCACGCAAGGAATCCTAGTTGTTGAAGTCGACTGCGGTTCTTTGATTCATCTCCAATTCTTTCGCACAATAGTTGATCGAGCTTCACTGTTGAGTCCATCCATAATCGTAGGATTGTGAGAAACGGAATTTTGGTGCTCTCCATCCATGAGCCAACACGCAGGTCGATCGCTGTCCAGCACGACGTTTCGTCACATCCGCATTGGGGTTCTGATTGAGCAATAGCTTCATAACGTGATGGTTTTGGCGCATGCGAGTAGTAAGCTAAATGCGGCGTTGTTGGAAGAACGAGATTGCATTGGCCTCGGTAGTGGGTAGGCGAAACATGAATCCACCGCGCCCTTAGAAAATAGCGAAAAAATTATTTTCTGTGGTTTTCCTTGTTCATTTTCATGGAAGAATGCTAATTTTGCGGATGTATAGCGGAAAAAAACCCTTTTCGCGTTGAAAGTGAGCTAAAACTTACATATTATCGGTGTTAACTAAAAGTTTATAGATTTCCGAGGCCATTCCCTGCATTTTCTCTTGTTGTTTATACTGGGTGATGCCCCATGTCCAATCCTTTTGATCCTCTTTAACTCCGTGATTCTCGGCCATCCAATTTCGAATCCTTTCCTCTTCTTCGGGCTTTTGGATCCAATTTGCCTAAAAGCTGGCTGTCTCCAGAAAATTTTCAAATGCCTGGTCACCTTTAATACCTTTAACTAAACCTATTTGCAAAGAAACTTGCCCGTGGGCCCGTGTAGCATCCAACAGTGACAACGACTTCACCTTTGTGCAACCATTTACGCTTCTGTCCACAAACGATAGTTTTTGTGTCTGACGGTGAATCCATCTGGTCGTTTATCTGAAACACACTTTTGAGGACAAACTGAAAAAGAAACTCCTACTTGAACAAACGCGAGATGGCCTGGATCAGCAGTGCACGTGAACTTTCGATAGACCTCATATCGTTCACTGTAATTGAGAGATGAAGATAAAATGAGAGGGGTTATCCCTGGCGATCAAAAAGCCTTGAGGCAAGGGCCGGACCATAGCTGCGGGCAAGCCTTGATCGAGTCCGAGCTCATCAAGGTTTTCACCGGGCGGAGCCCGGGAAAGTTTTCACGAAACACGCTTACTTAGACGTCTCATCGCTCGTAAGGTTTCTCCAGTTGCCACCAGCCGAATGAATTTGAATGGTTTCACTCTGGTTCTTGCACTCTTCCATCCATTCTAAAAAATAGCCAGTAGACGAGTTGGGTAACAAAAAAAGAACAATGTAATCGATCGAAACAAACGTACCTTCATTTGCTGTCACAATTAGTGCCAGTGAAGCCACAAACAAGAAAACGAATTCTTTCTTCATTTACAACTAAAAAGCAAATTTTCAAAAATGTGAATTGTAAAAAGAGAAAGTTTAATACAAAAACGAAAAGTTGTTGAAATAAATACTAAGACTTTGGAATTTGATTTGACGACTTCATTTTCTCATCAAATTTCTATTTTCTGATTTGAAGGTCTATGTTGTGACAATGATTCGATTCAAAAAGCATTTTTTTGATAGAATCATACATTTTTTCCTAATAATATTTGACTCGAAATAATTTAATGGAAAAACGAGAAGAAAAATTTTAGCGCTTTTACGACAAACTGTATCTGAGTTGCCATATTTTTGTTTCTAAATATAAATGCTTTATTCAAAAATATGAACAAACACCTAAATTTTGAGCTAAGCTTTTGCATTAAGCAGTTACCGAAGTGGGCTAACACAAAACTTTGCGGTTCTAACCTGAGAAAGGCCCCTTTCGAATTATTGGGTTGGAAAGAACGTTCTCGGAAAAAGTTTGACTGGAATTTCTTAAAAACGAATCCAGGAAAGCTTGGTGCATACTTTATAGTTACTTCAGTGCATTAAACAAAGTGGTATTGGGTTGGAAAGAGAGTTCTAGGAAAAAGTTTGCACAGTGATTTCTCAAAAACCAACCCATAAATCCTTCCCAGATTTTTTGATAAATTTGTCTATATTTCAAAAAGTTTTTGACTAAAAAAACCAGAGTTGGCTTCAGGTAAAAAATAAGAGATTTCTTCAGCTGAGGTGATTTGGTCACTTTTTGAGTGACCAGCCTTTAGACAAGTTTTTAATGGGTTTTAAACTTTTCAACAACTTTCAACTTTCACTTTCACTTTCACTTTCACTTTGTGTGAGGTGTACAATTTTTAATTGTTGGTGAACAGCTTAATGGTTCTGCGTGCAAATTAACATTCGAAAATTAAAATTGATAAATTCGGCTTCAAATTTCTTCATCAAAATTTTCCATTTCCTTCCGACTTTTCTTGCAATGCGGCCATGCAAATTCCTCAAGTCTTTCAAATTCGACGATGAGAAGAGAAAGAAACTCAGGAAGCGATATAAATGGAACATTTGCATCGATTTCTTCTTCACAAGGTTACTATCAGTTTTTGGGAGTATCCCATGTTCTACGCTTGCTGATAATTCAATTCTTTTTATTTCATTTTTTTCATAGCTTTACTACTTTTTAATGTAGTCTTATTACTTTTTTTAAAAGTTTAGTGAATCGACTGACTACGCAAAGCTTCGTTTCATCGTCAACCTTTTCATCGGCTTTTTCCTTTCAATTGGTGAGTTTCATTTGTTTTGTATTTTTATGAATCAACTCTTTCTAGGTTCATATTATCTCGTCTGGAAAAATATCAACTTTGCCATCGAATATCACAAAGTGTCGTCAATCATTCTAAAATGGATTGTAATCATCGGAAACACGCTAGCTTTTGCCTACAGCAAGGTAGAGTTTATTCTGTTTCAGTTACTTCAGTTACTTACTCAAGTTTACTTTTTAGTCGTATCGTTGTGGACTATGGATCTTTGTCCTAGGCGTTTTTGGCACAAGTGGACAAAGTGGGAAACTTTTTTGATTTATGATTGCCTTTCTTTTAGCCCTATTGAGCATCTTTGTGTTCGACAATGTTCGCGCTGGTCCAATCGACAACATCATCACGAATTTCAAGTAATCTTGTAATTTACTATGGCTAATCCATAAATTCTAGGATTGCCACCGACAATGTGGTTTGCGGAGTGAAAATCTCGACGGAGGTGACATCTTTAATCTTCGACACCTTTAAATGTTTACTTTTCATCTTAAGTTGGCGTCTGCACGAAGGAAGACACTGATTGGACCTATGCGTGAGACGCTGAAAGACACGCTGAGTAAGTTATAAGCTTTTTAGATAATCAGTTCTTTTGCTTTGTTTTGTTTAGCCAAAATTCTCGAGTTGAAGGGAGATTTTTCGTTCGTTGATCAGAAAGAAGTAAAAGGTATGGTAATACTTCGATTTTGATTATGCTTATTGTGGTTATTGTTTATTGTTGTTATTGTTATTGTTTAGAAAGTGATGATGAAAAGTTGGATCGAATGATTGATCAATCGGCTTTGGTAAGATTTGTTGATAACCATTTGAGGATGCTGTTCTTAGGATTTGGCACAACGAACAAACATGTTAAATGAGGATAATCGAACGGTCACTTTTCGCAAGCCATTTTACACGAAATTCAAGGAAAAGGTGTCAACTTTTTCGGCGATAAATAAACTGACTTTCATTTTAGTTTGTACGTGATATGGGCAAAAAGATGGAGCAGCAATGTACGCAAATTTTCGATAAAGGGAGTCTCATCTGTTCACAAGCTTTTGCTGCATTAAAAGTGATTTTTCTGATAGGAAATGTTATTGTTTATTGTTTAGGAACAATGTCAACAACAAGCGCCGTTCTTGTTGAGCACTTTGATTTGCAAGCCGCTTGACGCTTTGGATATTTGTGAGGTATGTTACCCCGTACTTTTTTGAGACAATGAGCAAATTCAGGATGATAAACGAAAAGAACAAGGCTACGACGTATGCAATAGTGTGCTAGGAAAAAATTCGCCACAAGATTTTGAACAGTATGTTTTTGTTTGGCAAGCTAAATGTTTGGCTTTAAGAGAAAGCATCGATATGCGTAGCATTTCAAAGCAAATTGCTGAAGAAATGGAGACAAAGGTGGGGTTTTCTTGATGTTTGGTCCTTGCATATATTCCTTTTAGATTCGAGTGGTAAGTGTGGAGGCACCGAGAGTTGCATCAGCTCTTCACATAAAAACCCTGGAAGCAAGAATTCTTCATCTGATGCGATTAGCAAAGGTACATTCAAACCTTCATTTATAAGTTTGTTAAAAATACGTGTCTAGAAACATTAAACAACCTTTAAACATATTCATAACTGTTAATTTTAGGAAGTTGTCAAATCTTTGCAAAGTGTTCTCGCCGCCCTTCTCGTTTTGGTCATATATCTCGATTTTGACAAAGCTTTCAAGATGTCTGATGCGTACACGAATGATTTGGGCTTCGAAAATCGGAGTATTACCTCGTGAGTTGAATAGAATAATTGAACTAATAAGTTTTGTATGTTAAGTGCTTTCGGTAAAATCGATCATGAGAGGGAAACAAGAAATCAAAAGACTCTTCCATTTATTGGAAAGTTATCGAGCTTGGAGAAGCGGCAGTTAAGGATTACCAGCCAATATTTCAGGTTTTGATTTACGATGTTGCTCTCCTAAAAGGCTCTTTATTTTAGGTTTCCAAAATGGAAAGAATTAAAACAATTCTGGTTGCCCGTTTCGAAATTTGTGACTCTTTGTGTGGTGGTGATAATAATTGTAGCCGTTGATCATTTGCTTTATCGGGCGATCAATGCTGTTAGTGCCTATTTTCACCTTTAATACCTATCTTTTAGATAGTTGACGGGGTCCCGAAAGGCGTCAAAAGCATGCAACTACCGACACTTCATTTAAACGTCAGTTTAGAGTTAAAGTGTAGATTGCTAATTGTTTTCTCACTTTAGGTGACGGGCGTGGGGATCTTCCCGAAAATGCTGCGGAAACTCTTCCAGCTTAAAAACGAAACTGTTCAACCGATTTTCGTTTTGGATGATTGCTTGGTTTGTTTTATTAGAAACAGATTATTTTGATGCTTATAGCTTGTGATTTTTCCTTTAGTTAAAGCCATCTCTACCCGATTATGACATTTATGTGGGTACGATTTTTCTTCCATTGCTTTTCATGTTCTTTTCCCAGGTTGATTTGGTTATTTTGCTGAAAGATTTACTTTTCTAGATTTTGCTTGCATTTTTGCCAAAACGAGTGATCTTATTCTGCTTCTTGCCCTATATGTTTCCCCGAAAAGCCCGTGCTCGTGTGATTTGGCTCTACAACTTGGTATGTTTGTTGGCAAAATTTTTTGTAAGTTAAACTACAAAAGACCCTAGATGAAAGGCTAACTGATTTTAATCAATAATGATTCTTTGACTTTTTAGTGTTTGAAACATCGTTTGATTGCTCGTGAAGAGGCTCGTCGACGCATTGCTTTCTTCGTCAAATGGCGAAAAGAACGAAAAGAAGAGAAAGATGAGGAAGATGAGGACGATGATGATTTGTAGTAAAGCTTTTGATATGGTGAATAAATTCATCTTTTATTTTAGCTTCTGTTTCGCGAAAAACTCATTGATACGCCGCGTGATCGTCGACAATTTGTACAGGCCATTTGAGTGTTTCTTATGTCAAGTAAGGTTGCTTTTCGGGTTATTTTTTCATTTCACAAATTTTAGACATATCTTCGCGCGTGGCAAACACACAAATGTGAACAATGCCCTGCCACATATTGCAAATTGTGTTGGACAGAGCTGACGGAGAAATGCTACGCTTGTCAGGTACGTTTTAAAAGCTTTGTTTCGAACTTTACTCATCACATTGTTTTAGGTGGAACACCAAGAAGCTGCGATCGACCCGTAAAAAAATAAATTCCATTAAGATTTTCCTGATTGTAATAAAGAACTTTTATTTTAGCCATAATAACAAACGGTAAAAGAAAATTGTTTCTAGAATGCAAATCATTTAATCAATAAAGCTTAAGAAAGTTAACAAATAGACTACTTCTCAAGCTAAGATTTCAACCTTTTGATGAAACTGGCGAGTTGATCGAGATCATGGCGAGCCGTCGTGCGGAGATAAACCTAAGCGAGTACTGTAAAAAGCTATTATGAATTGGATTTGGATATCTTTAGATTCTAAAAGACTAGTGCTGATAAAAATGCAATTAAATACACAAAAAGACAAACCATGACTCCCCACAGAAAATCGGCTACTTTCTCTGCATCAGTACATGTCAATGAAAGACGATTCTAAAATTGAATACAATTTTTTATTTACTCTTTTTAAGTCGATTGAAAAAAAAACTTACAATATTTGGCGGATTGATGCGAAAATAGGGACTTCTCGTAGCAAGACACCAAGCGGCTGCTTGAGCAAGACATGCTGTGTCGCCGCTTGTTGACTAAAATGAAATGATTGAAATCGCCAGATTTTACAAAAAATACACGCACTTGGCTAACAAAAACGTCAAAGAGATTCTTCGTCGTGCGCATAAAATCTAAATTGAAATGATTGAAAAAGGTAAAGTTCCAATAACTGTCCACTTGATAAAAACTTACGCCGATCGAAGAAAACGCGATTCTTCGGCAAATCTCCAAAATGAATTCCACTTGTGCGTCTCGCCTCGTTGTAGCCAGTGCCTAATGAAAGGAATAGTGAAGGAGTTGGATGGCGGACGGCTTTCTAAAGAATAAACATGATTCATAAACAACATTTCAGCTCACCGCATAGAATCGATGATATTCAGTCAAGAGGACGAGACTGGGATTCTTTGCGAGAACTCCTCCATCGGAGAGACCGAGTGGAGAGACGGGAAGTAGTAGAGGAGCCGCTCTAAAACGATAAAGGAAAAATGATAAAGTTCAACAACGACAAAACAAACGTTGATGCCATAAGTGCGTCGACGATTTCCACCTCTCGATGATCCTCGTCTGTCTGAACTTCGATGGGGAAATTCCTGGAAATAAAAGTTTAGACAAAACATTGAAAAGTAAGACCGAAAAATGAGCAGTCTCGGTGGTATCATGGCTCCATCAACAGACGTGCAGACGAATCTGGAACAAAACATGAATTACCGAATTAAAACTAAAAGTCTTGTCGAAAGTCTTTACTTTGCTTCGATATCGCCAAGCCGGGACGTTCCAACATGCTCGCGAAGAGATTTGTGGAGAAGCTAAAGAAAAGCTTTGAAAGAATCGGGAATGTTTAAGTTAACAAATTATACTTTAGAGTATAGTTAATCTTTAAGATCAATTCTAAGAAAATAAAGACCTCTCCTCGAAAAGAAGGTTTCTTGAGTTTCGGATGAAAGGGGGCGCGGGTTTCGGCGAGAAATGACCCAAGGTTTGTATCCGGCGATTGAGACCCTAAAAAGATAAAATTTTAAAGTTATAGTCAACACCTATGATCTAGATATACAGTGGTCAAAAAGTCCTGATACATTTTTAAAAGTTATTTATTTCTAACAAAATTCAGTATCGAGTTGGGCCTCCTTTAGCTTTTATAATCTCCTGAAGTCGGTTTGGCATACTTGCGATCAATTTTTCCGTGGTTCGTTGTGAAATTGAGCTCCAAATAGACTGAACTGACAAATGGACTGATATCCAAATAGTCTCAAATCTCATTTTTTGTGGCAAAGCGGAATTCTCGCAATTTTCGTTTGATGTTTGGACTCATTGCTACATTTGCGTAAGAAAGCATATAATTTTGCATCATATCCCGATATTTCACACTGTCCATGAATACATCTATGAGGATTAGAGGTCCAACTAAGTTTGAAGAAAAGCAGCCCCAACACAGTATCCCTCCTCTACTGAGTTTGACAGTCTGTCGAATGTATTTCAAGTTGTATCGTGTTCCAGTGGGTCTCATGATGGTGTAGTTGCCATTACTGCTGAACAAATTGAACTTAGTTTCATCACTCCACAAGACACGTTTCCAGTCATCGACCGACCAATGTTGGTAGGTGGGGGCGAATTCCAAACGGAGCCTCGAGTGTCTAAGAACCATCAAAGGTCGTCGTGAAATTTCAGTCGATTTCGAATCGTTTGCGAAGTTACACCAATCCCAAATTCCCTTTTTAAGTAACTTTTCCCGTCCGTGACTGTAAAATCCGGAGCCGAGGCGAAGAAATGCCGAAGTGCCCGGCCTTGTCGAGACGCTGTTTTTGGTTGTCGGGCTTTTTTCTTTAATCGGTGCATTTCCACGTTCTTTCATCGGATTGCAGAGCCTCCATATTGTCATCTTCGAAACGGAGAAGAGGTTTTGAATCACACTGACTTTGAGTTCAACTTTTCGAGCTTCAACGATTCGCTCCTTTGTGGGACTGTCGATGTATTGCTTGCACGGCATCTCTAAAAAGAAACAATATCAAAAATTAGCAAAGCTCTAACGTAAAAAAAAACAGGAGAAAAAGAGAAAAGGTATCAAGACTTTTTTGCTTTGTTTCTTTTATTTTTTATTTTTTGTACATAAATAGTTTTTGCAAAGAGCATATTTTATGTGAATTTTTGATGAAAGGCGGAGAGACAATTCTCGAAGAGCCTAAAGCGAATAATATTAGGCTGTCCAGAAAGTCTTTTAGTTTCTCTTCGTACTTCCGTTGAAAAATAACAAATTCACCAATTAACCTATGGTTTCCTCTAAATAAAAAGGGTTTAGACAAACTCGAGAATGAAAACGTGTTTTCGAAAAAATCGATAAAAACCTCTACGAAGAAATTGGCTGAAAGAATTTCTCTGAAGGCTTTCAACCAAAAGACAAACGGGCAACCAAGAATTGTTTTTGCACGTTTTTTGCACGCTTCCAAAAAAATCCAGACATTGACAAAACCTGTTTTAATGTTATTTGGCAGAAAAGAAGTACAAAAAGGAACAAAAAGACTTTCGGGACAGCCTAATCTACCATTTATAGGCCAACTAATTAAGCCAATTTTTATAGATTTTGGATCATATTAAAGGAGGCTTGCTAAAAAAAATCTTCTTTAAAACCCCCAACCATAATCTCGGCGGCTCCTTTGATCGGCGGCTCCTCCATCGAGTGCGACGAGTCGAATCCCTCAAACGTTCCTCAATGAGCTCTTCGTTTAGATCACTAAAAATGAAATTTAACAAGAAACAATAGATAAAAGCTAATAGTAAGCTGGCACTATCTAAAAGCTAGCACAAGGGACAACCATTGGGCAGCCAACGGTCAGCCGGTTCCTTTGGTTTCTCCGTTGAAAAACGAACAGCTTCGAGTTTGAACGAAAATGAGTAAGCCTTTCGCTTGACTTTTGCTCTTAGACTTTTTTGAATTCGGCATTACCTAAGAAAGAAAAATTAGTAACGCAATAAAATCTGAAAAACATCGGAAAAAAAGACGAAACGGAATAAAACTACACTTTCGGGTTGACTTTTCGTATTTCGGATACAATAATTTTAGCGAAAAATAGAAAAGAAGTGATACTTCGAATAAAAGATCGGTGTTATATTCAACCTGGTCTTCTCTTTTTTCGATCACCCTCTAGATCTCGTCTTCTATTCAAGAGAAATACGGTAGACAAAACATAAACAATAAACAAAACAAACCAAATTCCTCGGACGGTAATTCCGGTTGATCACGCCATTTCCGGACCCATTTTCGTTTTCATCACCAAGCCATCGGTTGCAAACTATTGAGTAAATAAATTAAAAGCTTATCTTATTTCCCGTTCATCATCGTAGTCTTTACTAAACATTGAGGCAAATGGAGTGCTTCTGATTCCATAGTGGTATCTTCTATTTTTCATGAGCTATTGTGAATCTTCATTTCGGCAGTTTATTTCTGAATAAAGTATTCATATATAAAAACAAAAATATGACTACTCAGATACTGCACTGGTACTACAGTTTATCGCAAAAGAGCTGAAATTTGTCTTCTCTTTTTTCCATTAACTTCTTTTGAGCGATTTATTAAATGGGAAAAAGAAAAAATGTATGCTTCTATTAAAAAAATTCTTTTTGAATTGAATCATTTTCCAGACACCACATAGACCTTTAAATTCCGAATTTCGACTTTCAACCTGACAACTTCATTTTATTCATAATTTTTTAGTATTTATTTGAACAACTTCTCGTTTTTTACTGAACTTTATCTTTTTACAATTCACATTAGATAAATTTGCTTTTCAGTTGGCTGTAAATGAAGAAAGAATTCTTTCTTGTTTGTGACGTTTTCTTCACTGGAACAAATTGTGACAGCAAATGAAGGTCCGTTTGTTTCGATCGATTACTTTGTTCTTTTTTTCTTTACCCAACTCGTCTAGTGGCTTTTTTTTAGAATGGATGGAAGAGTGCAAGAACCAGAGTGAAAACATTCAAATTCATTCGGCTGGTGGCAACTGGAGAAACCTTACGAGTGATGAGACGTCTAAGTGAGCGTGTTTCGTGAAAACTTTCCCGGGCTCCGCCCGGTGAAAACCTCGATGAGCTCGGACTCGATCAAATGCTTGCCCTTTTTTCTTTTCTTTTTTTCTTACCCAACTCGTCTAATCACTAATTTTTTAGAATGGATTGAGAAAGAGTGCAACAGCCAGAGTGAAAAAAATTGTCATTCATTCGGCTGGAATTCATGGCTGGAAACTTTTCGGCTGGAAACTTTCGGCTTTTCGAGCGATGTGACGTCTCAGTAAGAGTTGTTTGGTGAAAGATTTTCCGGGCCCGGCACGGTCAAAGCCTTAATGAGCTTGGACTCGATCAAGGCTTGCCCGGAGCCATAATCCGGCCCTTGCCTCAGGGCTTTTTGGTCGCTAGAGAAAACCCTTCTCATTTTATCTTCATCTCTCAATTACAGTCAATATTATGGGCTCTATCGAACGTTCACGTGCACTGCTGATCCAGACCATTTCGCGCTTGTTCGAGTGGGAGTTTCTTTTTCAGTTTATCCTCAAAAATGTTTTTCAGATTAACCACAAGATGGATTTTCCGTCAGGCACAAAAACTATCACCTGTGGATCGGGGCGAAGTCTGTCGGATGCTACACGGGCCCACGGGCGAGTTTTTACGTTTAATTAAAGCCCAATGTTTAGTTAAAGGTATTAAAGGTGGGCAGGCATTTGAAAATTTTCCCGAGACAGCAAGCTTTTAGGCAGATTGGATCCAAAAGCCCGAAGAAGAGGAGAAGATTCGAAATTGGATGGGCCAGCATCACGGAGATAAAGAGGATCAAAAGTATTGGACATGGGGCAGCACCCAGTATGAACAACAAGAGAAAATGCAGAGAATGGCTTCGAAAATCTATCAACTTAACTATAAAGTAGGCGCCAAGCATTCGTGGATTCGTTTTTAAGAAATTCCAGTCAAACTTTTGCCGAGAAGTTTCTTTCCAACCTAATAATTTGGAAGGGACCTTCATCAGGTTAGAACCGCAAAGCTTTGTGTTAGCCCACTTCGGTAACTGCTTAATTCAAAAGGTTAGCTCAAAATCTAGGTGTTTGATCATATTTTTGAATAAAGCATTTATATTTAAAAACAAAAATATGGCAACTCAGATACAGTTTGTCGTAAAAGCGCTAAAATTTTTATTTGAAAGCCGTAAAATAGTCAACAACTCGGCTCGCTGCGGTGCACTACTATTAGAGAAAATACGGTAAACTTACCTTATTTCCCGTTCATCATCGTAGTCTTTACCAAACATTGAGGCAAATGGAGTGCTTCTGTGGTATTTTCTATTTTTCATGAGTTATTGTAAATCTTCATTTCGGCACCTTATTTCAGAATAAAGTATTCATATATAAAAACAAAAATATGCATACTCAGATACTGCACTGGTACTCCAGTTTGTCGTAAAAGCGCTAAAATGTTTCTTCTGGTTTTTCCATTAAATTATTTCGAGTCAAATATTATTAGGAAAAAATGTATGATTCTATCAAAAAAATGCTTTTTGAATCGAATCATTGTCACAACATAGACCTTTAAATCAGAAAATAGAAATTTGATGAGAAAATGAAGTCGTCAAATCAAATTCCAAAGTCTTAGTATTTATTTCAACAACTTTTCGTTTTTATAC